TTTAAAAATAAGTCAAATAACCCTGAACTAATGCACTTTTTATAATAGGCATTATAGCAATGGGTTTGTTATCAAGTGAAGATCATTTCTCAGCCACGACAACAACCGGATTCTTACCCATCACTCTATTGAGACGAATGTTCATAGAATCGCCTACTTTTGCGGTGGGCCTCAAACGTATGACATCTGTGCCCAGACATGTGTCCGTCAATATGATTGTAGCGACGGCTGAGGGCGAGGCTATTAATCTAGAGATGACACCAAATCACTGTTTTATGGCTTATCCGAGCATTAAGTCAGAGGTCTATACCCACAGCAATCACTTTAAATCAGATGAATTTATAGCTAATAATAGTGTGAAGGGCGCCAACAAGAGCGGGTCCACACTATTTAGGGACAGACAACTGGAAAGGGGTCTTATGAACGAGTGGCCAAATATTGACGAAAATAGTTTCGTCGATGCCTTCAAAAACCATTTGGGATTTCCTGACGCTTTGTGTCTTCATATTCCAGATGAAGGCAAAGAGCATACGTCGACGTCACCCAAAGAGTGTACGGTCGCCAACATTGTCTTCAATTTGTCTAAAAGGACAGTTAGACTTTGTAGGGGACAGCCCTGTAATGGGGTTTATAAAGAATATGGTTTTAATAATAACACTAATACCATCAATTAAATTTTATAACACAATAAAATATATTATATTATATGGTATTTAGTTATAATATAATTAATAAATAAATTCTTTATTATATTTTGTGTTTTATTGTTGAATATTGTTTTTAAGGCAATTAATGCAAGTTTAATAATAAAGCATAAACTGCATTATCAAAAGAATTTATTTAATGGCAGTAATTTAGGTAATACTGTCTCTAACATAATATTAAAAATTAATAAATATATTATACAAAAAATCCTTTAATGCTTTAATTCAGAATTTTTATTATTACTCGTATTTATGATCGTTTCATTAGGACAGTCGTCCACAGGTTTGCTAATACCCCAGGTCTGTAATTCCGATGTTGAGAATAATATATAAACTGTTTGTGTAAAAACATAAACAGCAGTACAGGTATAGAAAACGTATGACCAGTTTTCCAACGTTTGCTATAATTTTTAAATTGCAAAAAAATGTAAAATTATTTTTAAATTAACAAATAAATATTAATAAATTTAAAAATAATTACTCCTTTCGAGTAGAAGTTTGCGGCGACTATTGGAGCGACAAAACCGGGAATATTTCCAATGGAGTTACAGATTCCCATCAGAATACCCGAGAAGTCTGGGGCCATATCCACGTAATTTGAATTGAATCCGGGATAACAGAAACCGTTGAGTCCGAGTGCCATCACGAAGAATACAATACCGAGGGTTGAGTTGCATTCCGACAGAATGACAGCAATGAAACATACAGCCGGTCCGAAAAATGCTATTTCACCACAATTAACACAATCATAATTATTCAGTTGTATATTTGCTAACTATAAATGGTTTCTGTATACCTATTGAATTATTAATTTTACGTAAAATTGAAATATTTATAATTTCCTTCTCTCTTATCTTATCGCTTATATACGACGATATGATTGAGACGAGTGCTAAACTCAGATAAGGAAGACTTGATATCAAACCATTCTATAGATAAGATTCAAAAGTTGATAAAACATGTTATTTTTTAAATGAGTTGTTTTTGGTTTACTGTTTTGATATCTAAATGAAGAATTTTAGTGAAATAAGTGGGCAATAAAGTCAAAATCGTTAGATAACCCCAATTCTGTCCAAAATGAGTGACAATCATAGCGTAGACCCGATATGATGTCAGAATGTCTTTCCACGGAATCTTTCGTTTCTATGTTTAGAGTATAAAAAAAATAATAATATAATGCATTAAAATTACATTCAAATATATATAAACCGCAGAAGTCTTTTCAATCCCTTGACCTAAACTGATGTAATCGTATTCGTGTTGCGATATAAATGGGTGACAATCGGGCGAATCGTAAACAAAAATAGTCCACAAAATGAACCAAACGATGCCAATGAATCCCAAGACATAGAAGATTGCGGGCCAACCGCCCAAAAAGGTCTCATCGCATAGATATCCTGTTAGAGACAATCGGGCGAATCGTAAACAAAAATAGTCCACAAAATGAACCAAACGATGCCAATGAATCCCAAGACGTAGAAGATTGCGGGCCAACCGCCCAAAAAGGTCTCATCGCATAGATATCCTGTTAGTGGGAGAGTGACTACGGATCCGATGGCTGCGCCGGCAAATATGATGGAAATGCCTCGACTTCTCTCCAGTTTAGGCATCCATCGGGCGATCATAGCGTTCATACAGGGAAGGATCACTCCCTGCGCTAAGCCCTGTAATATTCTGGTCACCAGGAATGGGATGTACCCCCAACGGGCCACCACCGGTCCCAACATGGATAGTACAGCAGTGATAAGCATACTGCCCCCGAATATCCATTTGGCACCAAACAGCTCAGCCAATGCCCCGGCCGGCACCTGTAGCACAATATAGCCATAGAAATAACAGCCTAATATAGTAGCCTGTTCCTGGTCATCCCAGTGGAAATCACCCTTCGCTCGTGAATTACTGCTTGAAACTGTAGTGTTAGCTCCGGGACACTCCTGACCAATTGAATCTGATGTATCCTCACTACTTACCATCGCTACTATGGCTACGCCTAAGAAGCCTTTGTAGGCGTAGACTAAGAATAGGCCCAATGCTGTCAATAAGATAAATACATATCGCGCCGGTATGAAATTGAAACATAACTTTCCTTCTTTGTATGCGGCCATTACACGATTAATTTAGTAAAAACTTAAAACATCTGACTTTTAATATTGTGTGCTATAAAATATTACACTTTTCATACAATGGAAACTTATTTCATGAAGTTATGAATTAATTGATGTCATAAAACATATGAAAATTATTAATTATTATTCTCTAATCTTTTTATGAGAATATTTTTTATAAACATTTTAATAATTGTGATAAATAGATTAAGATATTCAACATAATAAATTAATAATTTAATTATCATTTTTATATAATTACCGTTTATACGGTATAGTAACTAAACATTTTATTATAAAAATATTTATAAATTAAAATTGTTTATAGAAATTAAAAAATTCTAAACTAATCCTTACGCTTAGCTATTTAAACAAACTAGAATTTAATATAACTTTATAAAATAATTATTACCGATAATTACTATAATTTATTAATTTTATTGTCTTTGTTAACATCCTTTTTAGCCAAACCCCAAGTCTGTAGTTCTGATGTAGAAAATAGGATATAAATAATGGCAGTGAAGAAGTAAACTCCAGAACAAGTGTAAAAAACATGGGACCAGCTCTTAAGGGTTTGCTGAATAAATGAATACAAGATTATATTAACTTTGTATATAAAAATGATTTATAAGAATTGATTACTCCATTGGCATATATTAAAGATGCTGTTTGTGGTGCTATAAATCCCGGGATGTTTCCAAAAGCATTGGTGAGTCCCATCAAAATGCCAGCAAAATCAGGTGCCATGTCTACATAATTGGCCAGAAATCCTGAGTAAGAGCTACCATTCAATCCCAAGGGATAATGCTTCTTCTGTTGTGAGGTACAAAACAGCGTAAACTTATTGTGCTGACGTTAGTTTGTTTACGGCCAGGGTTTCTTACGAAAATAAATTTTTTATTGAATTTAGTTTGGTAACTAATATTTTTCCAGAAATGTTATTACCAACTGAATTATTAATTTTTCGTAATAAAGTTATATTCATTCCTCTTTCCCTTAGTTTATCAGTTATATAAGAGGCCAAACATGAAACTACAGAATTGGCAATATATGGCAAACTAGATATGAGTCCATTCTATTCATTATTACTGAAATTTAGCCCAAGTTAAATACAAATAGTTTTATCATTTATTATCATTTATTTTTAACATTTATGACAAAATTATAAGTACACGTCTTATAATCACTTTATACACCCGTTTTCACAGTTATCACACTCTATTGGGGTTAACTTTGGTTTTACGGTTACCGTCGATGCATAGACATGATATGATGTGAACATTGATTTCCACGGAATCGATCGTTTCTATTATTAAAATGCATTAAATATGAAACTTTATATTTTAATACAAATGGTATTACTTACTGAACTAAGTTTCTCATCTCCCTGTCCGCTGCATATTAAGTCGTATTCACTTTGAGAAATGAAAGGATGACTGTCCGGAGAGTCAAATACAAACAGAATCCAAAAGACAAACCAAATACAGGCGCTAATACCCAACACATAGAAGATTGCGGGCCAGCCACCTAAAAAGGATTCGTCACATAAATATCCAGTGAGTGGTAGCGAGACAACAGAGCCCAGGGAAGAGCCGGCGAATATTATAGACATGGCTCGGCTTCTCTCCATTTTGGGCATCCATTGAGCTATCATTGTGTTCATTGAGGGCAGAATCACTCCCTGCGCTAATCCCTGTCCCAAACGGGTTACCATAAACGGTACGATAGAGTCCTGTCCCCACTTAGCACAGAGAGGGCCCAACAGCGAGAGTATTCCTGATATGAGAAGACTGAACCCAAACATCCACTTCGCGCCAAACCTTTCGACGGCAATTCCGGCCGGAATTTGTGTCAAAACATATCCGTAGAAAAATGATCCCAACACTAGTGCCTGTTGTTTGTCATCCCAATTAAAGTCTCCCAAATGGTTATTCTTTTCGTGAGTCTCTTCTGCCGGACACTCGTTACTAATGGATTCAGATTTGTTGGAGTGTCTGACCATCGCTACGATGGCTACTCCTAAGAAACCCTTGAATGCATAGACAAGGAATAGACCGCACGATGTCAAGAATAAAAACACATATCGCGCCGGTATGTATGCAAAACACAACCGTCCATTTGGTTGAGAACTCATTTAATATATTAATAAATAAACTAATTTATTGAGTAATTAACATTAAATTTTAAATATTAAATTTTATAACTATGTACACTTTGTTTTAATGATGAATGACAAACAGTTGTAAAAATGATAAAAATATTTATGATAAAAATGTTATATATTTATTAATTTGTTATGTTTTTATGCAATAAATAGTTTTATGGTTAGGAAAAATATTTGAGATAAAAATAAAATTTATTGTTAAATGTCATATTAACTGCAGTGTTAATTAATTAATATTTTTGTAAATAAATTCTAGACTAATTTAATTTGAACTACAGCATTATGATAAAATTAATTAAGATTTGTAAAAGNAAATATTTTTCTAATTAAAATTATACAATAGCTTATTAAGTAAAATAAAATCAATAATTATTTTTAATAACGTTAACTTTACCATACAGTTAACAACTGAAAGCAATTATACTTAATTAATTAGTTGATAGGAGTCGTATGATTTTGTATTAAGTATCAATTTGAGGTAAAAAGTATTAGCTATCAAATTTTGTAGTACTTTTAATATTTTAGATAATCTATTATAAATACTTCTATTTGCTTCTTTTATACACTTACAATCAGATTACTGTATATATATATAATATTCACAATTGATTGACAGTTTATGTAATTTTAACGATTAATAGTAACAATCATAAATATTTTATATTTATAAATATTTGGAATAATATAGCAAAACTATTTATATAATATTTCACTTGAATGTTTGTAAGTGTTTTCATTCTCACTATCGATTATTAATTGATTAAGAGAGCTTTATAATTAACTTATTAAAGGTAACAGTGGCAAAGAATAAATGTTAAAAGTTATAATATTGTATTTAAATAAAATCCATAACAACAGAGAAAAAACATACAAAGTGTATGAATTAGTCTTACTTTTCTGAGATATATACGACATTTTCTAATATATAAATTGAATTCATTTTCTTCATGCAAAGCATAATAGCAAAACAAAATGATCTTGAAAGTTTCTCATCTATTGCTTTTAGTGTTTATCTTTGATGTGAAGTGCAGTCCCAACCCTCCCATCCATAAGGGATGTGATTTGCCCGTAGATGTGAGGGAACAGGTGAATAAGGGAGGAAAGGATGAGTGCGTTGCCGCCGGATACTGCTGGGGACCGGGCGGCGGATCCCCCGACTGTTACCGACCCCACAACGACACATCTGTCAAAGTGTTCATTCATATGATGCCGTGGTTTGAGACCAAAGAGACCAATCCTGACAAAGGAAAGTGGGGACAGCACTGGACGATGAAGAATATGAATCCCGATGTAAAGGACGGGTCCGGCAAAAGACAAATCGCCTCTAAGTTCTACCCTCTCATCGATTTGTACGCTTCGGGTGACTCTCATGTCATTGACTGGCAGTTGGGTCTCATGAAGTTGTCGGGCGTGACGGGTGTCCTAATCGATTGGCCCGGAACTGCACAGGTATGGGACTATCCGGGTAACGCTGCCAATAGCGAGGCGATTATCAAGGGTTGCGAACGCGTGGGTCTCGAATACGCCATCGTTTACGAGGACCACAACCTGGGAATGGCGAGAGACGCCCACCTCCTTAAGACTGATATTGTGACTCAAGGAAAGGCAGACATGACATACCTGAAAGACAAACACTTTATGGCCAAGAACTACATTAAAGTAGACAACTCTCCCCTCATACTTGATTTCGGTCCACAAACACTCAATAGCGGTGAGTGGGATCAGGTGTACTCAGTGGTGCCACAGGCGCCCACATTCTTGACCCTATGGAACCAAATGGACCAGGGTGGTAAGACTGCTAAAGGCGAGTTTGCATGGATTTACTCCAATTACTTGGATGGACTTAAAAACTGGTATCACTTCAAGAATAACGTGAACTTGAAGTTTGGGTGCGCGTACCCCGGCTTCGACTCGGCCTACAATATGGGCGGATGGCCCGGTCCCTCGTGGACTATACCGGTCAGTGTGGACACCTTCGAGAAAACATTTGACCTGGCTAGTGCTTACGGTGCCAACTACATCCAAGTGGCCACTTGGAACGACTACGGAGAGGGAACTGTCGTTGAGCCCACAAAAGAAAATAAGTATGAGTTCCTTAAAGTACTTCAGCACCGACTGGAGCTCAAGTACACCGAAGCAGATCTACAGAAAGTCACAGATATCTACCTCCACCGCAAACTTCATGCAAATAATCAAACTATGCTTGATATATTGGAAAAAGAGTTTATGGATGTGATTCGCAGCTAAACATTTAAAACATATTTATTTTTGTTGTTTTGTTTATTAAATAAAACTTTATTTGAATGAAATTATTTAAGAATTACTATATTATACTGTACATATTAATATAAAAATTAAATAAAGCTATAAATAAACTTAACGAGATCACACACTTTTGAAGTTGTTATATTTTAAACAAACTTATGTAAATTTAAATAATTTAACATTTAGATCAAATGAAGGTGCCGTAAGAATTACAATTATGTTTATCATAAAAGTGTATTTGAACTTTAAATTTGCAAACGTTTCAAACTTTTTATTTATAAATGTAGTAATTTCTAAATCCAGTGATAATTCTTTAATTGCATTTCATTTATGACTAATAAATTATTTTAAGTAAATCTAAAACAAGTTGTGACATTAGAATTAGATGTTCGTACTAAATGCTTATTTAATGTAAATAATCTGATGTTTACGTAAATAAGTCACAACTCTTATTTTACAAATCTTGAAAAGTGTAAAATTAAATTGTGAGAAATATTTTCAAATATATTTTCATATACATTATTGTGCACATTTATTCTCAACCCTAAAATTAAATTAATTTTTAATTTAGACATTTAATCAAATTGAAACAAAATAAACACTGATAAAAATTAAGTTTGACTTCTTTTAAAATATTCTTCGAAATCTTCGTTAATAAGTCTTAATCTGTTTAATCTATGATTAATTATTTCCTGAATAATACTGTAATAATGTCATCAAATTTTTTTAAAGAAAGAAATTATTATTTTTAAATTTTAAATTTTAAATAGTAAATTATACATACCTTGTATAAATTATTCCTAAACTACAATAGGTTTTACTAAACATTGATCAATAAAAATATTTAATAAATGAATCCAATTTTTTGGAAACACTTAAAATGTGTTAGATTGTTGTACTTATTCAATAAGTTTAATGAAATTCTAATTATTATAAAATGTCATAAAACACAGCAATTAGTATTTTGAACCTCCAGTTCAAGCGGTAAATGTGTTGAACCGCTAGTATTGGTGTAGTAAACGATAACATCAAACGATCTCTTTCTTGGTTTCGGATTTAAGGAACTCATCACTTGTTAAGAGTTTTACCCATATATTCATTACTCGACAAAATAATTAATTAATTTTAGAAAATTAGAAAAAGTGTAAGAGATTTAACCGGGTGATAAACTCTTATGATTAGAGAGATTCTCAAGAACTCAATGAACTATATTTTCGCCTACAGTTTACTATAATATCTTCAACTCAAATAAACTTTTAGATAATTTTTTGTGATGATTTTATGAGATTGACCACAAATTTGACTTTTAAATGCATTTTGTGTATAAAATCAGAGCATTTTTTATATGCACGAATAATGTGTGTTTTAATCGCTCATTTATATCTCTTATAATTTCAATTTCCAAATGATGTTTTAGTGAAACGGTATTAAAGTATTTATTATAAGATTGATTAAAAACTAAATGTTTTTAGCGCATCAAATCATAAATTTTTTAAACACATAATTAGAATATTAAACAAAGTATAAAATCAAATGATGTGGATTCAATTCAATCATTTCATAACAACTTTTTTGTGCAATAGTTGTTATTTTTCATTCAATTCACTCATTTTTAATTCAAACATTTATTCAACTCATTGCAAATGTTTAAAGTGAGTGAAACACTTAATACATTTAATTTAATATGATTTAAAATATTAAATATTAATTTTTAGATTTATTAATATTTATAATATTTACCCGATTTAATATTAAAGCCGTTTAGTTATTCATTTTAATAATTTATTAGTTATATTACAAATTCAAATAAAACATATTTTTAAATACTATTTAATTTTCTGCAATTTATAGTTCATTGTAGTCGTTGTCGGACTGATTGGTTGTGAGGCCTCTCCAGCTTATGATTACAGCGCACCGGCAGTTAATGCCGATTACGGCGGTTCTCACGCACCTGTACTAACCGGCGGCCTGTCCTCTGTGATTAACAGCCCAATTGGTGCCGGATATTCACTGCCCTATGGGTTTGCCTCAAAAGGAGGTCCCATAGGATTTTCGGCTCCGTTCTCATTTGGCGGTCAACTCCCGGTCCACGCGCACCGCAGTGTGGAAGTAGCGCCGGCACACGTCCAGCACGAGTCCATCGGTCCTCAAATCATCGAAGTAGCCGGTGATGACCAACCCGTTCAGGTGCTCTTCAGGTCGCACGGAAGTCGCGTTCTCGTGCAGCAGATCCATACCCCCACCCCTGGCGGACACGTCGAGTCGACCCGCACTGAAGAGGAACCGCATCGAGTCATCCACGAAGTCATTCGTCCCGTCATTCAAGAGGTCCGCGAAGTTATTCAGCCCTACAGACGACTCACACAAGAGATCAGACCTGTTCTCGAAGAAGTGCATACAGTTGTGGCAAAGGGTGAGAAGAGACACAGTTATGGCGCCCAACCGGCCCTCGTGGCCACTGGCGGTTTAGAGACAACCCATGGGTTGGCCGGAAGTGGCTATAAGGCTAAGAAAGCCGCATAAAACTTATTAATGAATTCAATAATTATTTAATTTTTATTATATTTATATTA